CTACTTTTCTATTGCCATGACCAAGGCAACTTATTTGGGGATCATCATGGTGGAGAGCATGGCAACAAGCAGACAGGCATAGCAATGGACCAATGGCTGATAACTTACATCTTGATCCACAAGCACAAGGCAGAGAAAGAGACACTGGGAATGGTGTGAGCGTTTGAAACCTCAAAGCCCACCTGCAGTGATAGACCTCCTTTATCAATCCTAATCTTTCCCCAACAGTTCCACCAACTGTGGACCAGGTACTGAATGGCTATACTAGCTAGTCATCAAGTTCTGGGCTGCCAACCTATCGTACCCCTCTGCCCCTAGTGACAGGGTTTCAGGCAAGGAGCACCATATCCAGCTTTTATGTGGGTGCCAGAGAACCAAACTCGGGTCCTCATGCTTCTCTTTTACTGACAGACCCATCACCCCAGACACCACTTTTAAAAAGTGCTTCTATATTCTTACAAATACCAACTCAGATTCTTAGTCATCGTATTGCTACATTAAAATAAGTGTATTTATATACATATTTACATTCTACCACCTTATAACATTATTTTTAACTGGTTTAGCATTTATGTGATTTTTAAAATGAGTAGTTAGAGAACATATGTGGTACCGGAGGCTACTGCTGTAAGCTTTTTGTTACTGAGATGATTAACCAGATGGCCAAGTGTGTTTATGAAAGGAGAGGGTGGTGCTGAGCTGTCTTGAGGCTGAACATAGGAACTGAGCAGATTTTAGGGGCATCCTGATCATAGTAAGACCTCTCTTTTCAGATTAAAAAAAAAAGTTGGAAGATTACAACATTGTGCTTCACATTAAACAGGGTCTAATTATATGAAAAATAAATAAATCATGGGCGGAAAGACAACGGACAAATTTTGAGCAAGGAGAAAATAATGCATCAAAGCTTTGGTGGTATAGTTTTCTTGCTGTTCTGAAAAGCAAATCAAGAGTTTTAGGATATAGATGCCACTTCTTTAGGGGTTTCAACTATAGTAGAAAGAGAAAGATGCCAGTGAAGTAAGGGTGATTAGATGTGTTCATTGGCGTTCTCACAGATCTTTTCTCCAAAGAGACTAAATACTGTATTTAAAAATTAAACCACCTATGGTGGTTTGAATGAGATGTCCTCCATGGTCACAGACACTGGAACACTTGTTCCCCAGCTGGTTACCCTGTTTAGGCCATTTAGAAGGTATATCCTTGCCAGAAGAAGTCTATCATTGGGGTGGGGGTGGGGGTGGGGGTGAGGGATGTTTTGAGGTTTCAAAGTCCCACACCATTCCTAGTTAGCTTTCTCTGCCTCCTGCTCACTGTTAAAGATGTGAGCTCTCAGCTGCACCTGCCACAATGCCTTCGCTCTGCCTTCAGACACTAACCCTCTGGAACTATAAGCCCAAATAGACACTTTCTTTAGTCACAGTGTTTCATAATAACAAAGAGTAACTAAGACACCATCTAAAGCACATACACTGTCATCTAAATAAAGCTGAAAAATAATAGTAGCACGGTTATGCCAGGTCTACTTGTGCACAAAATTTTACTCCCGAGACTTCTGCTTAACTTCATTTAGAATTACAGAAGTCTCATCAGCAGTTTTAGTTGCCCATGATTATGATCATTTATTTAAACAACTATTCCAGCACAGTAGACTTGTCCCTCACCAGTTGGGCACTACTCTAATGAACCAATGTGTGGTGGAGAGGTGACAGTGACAGAAAAATGGAGCTGCACAGGCACTGTGGAGAGAGGCGGAACTGGAGACAAGACAGCGGTGACAGGTGTGAGAGGGCTGAGCTTGACAGTGGAGCATGGTATTGCCCAGGAGGGCGGGAGAGGGAGGTTGCGGTATACAGCCGCATGGAGCTTTCACAGACACAGACTCAGTCCCCAAACGCACCTCCAGACTGTGGGATCGGATCACCCGGGCTCTGGTCAATGATGGAGGCCCAAGATGAGAAACAATTCACTTTCTGAACTGGACCTCCTCGAAGGACTACTGTGATCCATGCTGCTGTCCTAGGCTGTGAGAAAGCCTGAGAGTCAAGTGTATGTATGAGGTCTGCGCTGCTGACTGAAGCGCTGGTGATGCCCTCCAGCTTTACTGCCTCAGGGAGGACATGCTGATATGAGTGGCCTAAGCTGCCACCTGAGGCAGGGTGCCTGGATCCAGGCTGCCACTGAAGGCCACGTCTGGGTCTAAGGTTCTACTGAAGTCAGGGTCTGCATTGATGTTTGTGGCCCACATTACCACCAAAGGTCACTCAGATGTCTTTCTGTGGTATGTGCTACCATTTAAAGCTATGCTGATGTCCACGGTCTGTTTTTCTTCCTAAGGAAGGGGGGATTACTGATCTGAGGGGCATGAACTGCTACCTGAGACCATATCTGGGCTCATGGTCCCACTGTGTCTGGGGTCTTTGCTGATGTCCTGAGATCTATGTTGATATCTGTGGCTGGGCCCATGGACCTACTGCAGCAGGGAGCATGTATATGGTCTGTACTGTTGCCAGAAACCATGTCAAGGCCCATGATCCATTCTCCCACTGACTGTGACTACTGTGATATTGATGACTCCAGACAAACAGTTGAGAGGGAAGGATTCTATGACACCACCACCACCACCACCCATCCGCGAAAGTAACAGCCTAGACAGAAAGCTACCAAAGAGAACATGTGAAAAGTATGAAAGAGTGCTGAAGTGTAGCTTTCCACAATTGATGGTTTCTGGCAGGGATGCAGGAGGGGAAGGACTCAGCTCTATTTATGGGGCAGGCCACTGAGATTTGACCATGTCATAGTGAGTGTATAAATAACACAAACTGGACTTGTTTTGTTTGTTTACTTCTCTTATTTTTTTCTTATTCTTATTTTTTACTTTTTCGGTGGGTCAGAGGTCACAAGAGTGGGGATTAGGGGTGGACATGGAAGGACTGGGAAGTGAGTGTAATTGGGGTACATGATGTGACATTCCCAGAGAATGACTTTCTTCTAACCAGAGGAATCTGCCAGAATACAAATGCGGCTGCATTTACTAAAACGAAAAATGAGGGCCACCAACTCCCAGTAATATCTGTGCCAGCACGACCATAAAAGGTCAGCAACTGCATGTTAAAACAATACAAGCTTGGACTTTTTGTTGTTGTTAATTGTGTTCATTTCTATAAAGCCAGAAATGAACACCTATAGAAATACCTGGTTAACCCTCTTTCCTCTATATGCTATTTTTTCTTTATGATGCTACCCTGTATATGCTATTTTTTGTGATGCTACTAGGGACTGAAAGCAGGGCCTCATGCATGCTAAATCATATATGTAATAACTGAACCATGCCCTAAACTCCTTTTATAATAAACTTAGGATGCAAACACACTCATTGATGGCTACAAAACATTGTTTTCTCTTACCAACGCTATAATGCCATATACAGAGCCCAGGTATAACAGAGCTGACTGTGACTGTCAGGTAGTGGACCTACCTAGCCATGCCAGGATCCCTTCAAAATAGAAACCTAGGCTGAATCAGAGTAGACTGCTGGAGCAAAACCTACTGCACAGCTAGGGTGTGCAGAGGCATGCAAGCACTGTATTTCGGGAGCTTAAAACAGAATTTACAGACGAGTTTAGCTATGATAACTGGTGTCTAGAAGATGAATAGGAAGGGAGGTCAGGAATAGCTGCAGTCTGGTGATGAGACAAAGGAAGAATGGGGCACACAGGCACACTCAATGGTGAATGCTCTGCCCTGCTATAATCAGCAGCAGCAGGGTCAGTTCTTCTTTTTTTTCTTTTGAGACAAGGTTTCTGTGTAGCCTTGGCTGTCCTGAAGCTATCTCTGTAGACAAGGCTGGCCTCAGACTCACAGAGATTCACCTGTTTCTGCCTCCCAAGTGCTAGGACTAAGGTGTGCACCACCACCACCACCAAGCACAGCTCAAGTTCTTTAACCACATAGTTACCATCAAGGAGACAATAATTCTATTTGGGGAAAAAAAAATGTATCCTCAAGATTTACTTTGAGGATCTTCACTGCAGAATCTTATAAAGGAATTGTTCAAATGCATCATGACACCAGACTACAGTGACAAATCATCAAATTCAGATAAAATAGAATCTAAGAAAGACATGGAAAGAGGTCACTATTTGCTGCTAACATACTGTCACTATGTACTGCAAACACAACCTATAGAGCAATATGAACAACTGAATCACAATCTTTAAGTTGGGCTGGAGAATTAGCTCAGCAGTTAAGAGCACTGGCTATTCTTCCAGAGGACTCGGGTTCAATTTCCAACACCCACAGGACAGCATTCAATATCCATAACTCCAGCTCCAACAAAGGCACCAAGCATGCAAACATATACAGGCAAACAAAACAACGTTTACATAAAACAAAAAAGTCCTAAATTTTAAAAAATGGGGCAGGTGGGCTGGCAAGATGGCTCAGGAAGTCGAGGCAGTTGCTACCAGGCCTGACAACCTGAGTGTGACCCCTGGAATCCATATAGTGAAGGGAGAGAGTTGACTCCTGTAAGCTCTCCTCTAACCTCTACATGATCTCTATGATTTGTATACACATACATAACACACGCACACACAAAAATATATGAATAATTTAAATAATCCTTACTAGACAAAGACAGGTGTATTTACAGTATATCTATGAATCAAAAGAAATTTGGAAGTATATACAGCTGGTTATGTAATGAGCTCACCATGCTTTCCTGTTTTTCCTCATCAGTAGTTACTAATTTTGTTTTTATATTATAAGCACATTTGAATTTTATAATAGAAAAAAATTATTAAAATGTTTCATATATATTATATTCTTGATAGTTGGATATATACATCCACTGTATAGCATTTGCTGTAAAAGAAAAAAAAAGATTTGCTTCAAAACGCCACTTTAGGGCCACAAAGTAGCTCATGATACAGAACTGTTATAGTAGAGCACTAGAGAGTAGAATTTTACCAAGAGGAAGCTATTCACAAGACACTTACGGCTGTGTGAAGTCACGAGTGATGAAATCAGAACTCTTGAAAAGCAGGAAGATGTCACTGAGGGTTTTACACTTCAGAGAACTATTCATTGCTATCCAGTATGCATCCTAAATAATAAACATATATGAGTTAAGACACATCCCACAACTGCAGCTCAGGCATATAAATGAAAGCACCTCCAGGGTTTAAAGAAAACATCCAAGCAAATTTCAGTAGAACTGTCAGATATCAAACACACTTCCCAGCAAAAAGAGCATGACCAGTGCATACCAGATACTCAGTTATGCACACTGAAGACGAAGACAGTTCAATAGGTAAAGGCACTGCCCAAAAACCTTGATCACCAAAGTTCAATACCTGGGCCACACATGGGAGAAGAACAGAACCAAGTCCCACAAATTGACCTCTCACCATCAAGTATGCATGCAGAATTACACCCACAAAACAAACAAACAAATACAATTTTTAGAAAAAGAAGTGTAGCTACACACAGAGATAGTAGGATTTACACATTTCAGCCCAGGGCCTGTGGGAACACCAGACCTTGAGCAGAGACCCACTTCCCCTTCTGCCTGGGAGTAGGCAGCTGTAAGACAATGTTTACTAAAAACAATACAATGCCTGGGGGCATTAAGTTCCTGGAAAAGGCCTGCCCGCAGAAACCACCCTGACCTCGACCTTGTCCAAAGACTAACCACCTCTTCTGCCACGCCCAGATCAGTTTCTGGGGTCAGAGCAGAACCAGCCAGGGTAGAGGAGAGAGCAGAAGCTTCTCCGGTGGGAGCCTTTTTTAGGAAGTTTTCTTGAACCTTTTTGGGGCCTGCTTAAAGTTTTCTTTACATCATTGAACAAGTCTCTGTGTTGTCAATCCCTGACACCCTCTGCACGTGTTCTCGGACACAGGCCGCGCAGCAGACGCGACAAGGGCCAAGTACTTTTCCAATGTTTTTCATGTTAAGATAGAAGGTGGATTAATGAAGTCACACACATTAGCTAATAAAAGATTCATGAAAGTGGTAAGGAAACAGCTACTCTCCAAAGTAAGTGCAGTCATTTCCATCCTTCCTGTTTAGGGAGACTGACAAACACCTGGACTTGGATTGTCAGTACACTTAAGACCCTATTTATTTGATCAGAAAGGAAAAAAGTGAAACAGTTCCTTCCAACCAGTAGCTGTGCTGGACATGTGGACATAAGGGAACAAGGCTCAGTGAAATGTGATTAAGTGACACTTCTATAGACAGACCAGACACAGGATAAATACACATTGAAAAACATCGATAATTACCAAAACTATCCAGTTATCCACACTACATGGAAGAAAGCACTGGTGCATGCATACAAGTCAATCAATAAACAAATGGACAAGTAAGGAATTTACAACCAAAAATAATCTTTCCATCTTAATTGGAAAACAAAGAAAATTTAAAACATTACTCTTATAGAGATGCAAAACTGACTGAGAAACTAAAAATTAACTCAAAAACCTCTATGTATTTTTATAATATCTCCCAATAAAAAAGTCAATAACTTCCCATCATATTTAATTCCACTAAATATGGTTTACACATATGCTCTGTATGTACATTGCAAACAATACAGCTGAATAAAAAAAAGAATGCAACTAATAACTGTGGAATATGGAAAAAGAAAATGCTAATAATCATAATAAGCATGCATCAGGTGAGTACATGGTGTTTGCAAATGAAAGCCACTGGAAACCCTGAATACTGGGAGAAACAAAGGCACCCCCAAAAGTGAATATGCGCGTCCTACTGCTGTGCAAAGCTCACGTGTGGGAGGGAGGTATGTACTGATGCAAAGACTGGAGGACAGCTTTCAAGAGCTGGTTCTTTCCTGCCTTGTTGGTCCTCAAGATTAAACTCGGGTTATCAGGCTATCTATCCCACTGAGCTATCTCTCTGGTCCAGCATATTTATTGGCGCTTTCCGACAGAGGAAATCCTGCTCAGCTGAGCAGGTGACCTTTTAAAAAATGCAGACTATGAACATACCTGGGATTCTAGCACAATTGGCAACACAAGAGGTCAAACTGTCTTTTGGCAGAATACGCAGTATTTCACAGACCCAGGAAAGTACATACAGCAAAATCAAAGAATAAAACAGAAAAAAATAAATAAATTCAAGAGCATTTTTCCTGGAATTAGGAATATAATCAGATATTCCATGGGGATATAAAAAGAAATAAAGAGCAAAATAAAAGTATTCAAATAATGAGATTTCCTTATGTGTGCCTACCCTTGGGGCACTCCAGTTAAGCTTAGGGAAGACACTACCCCCAAGCAAATTGATAGCTTCTTGGACTTGAGTGTTGAACTCAGGAAACTCTGGTGCCTACAAAGATAGAAAACAAATCATGAGCTAGAGAAATGAAAAATATGATCAGTATCTCAAGGTTGTAGGTAGGATATTAAAACAATTATTTAGAATACAAACTGTTGCTCTTATTCCTCCACTCAATTAAATAAAATCAGCAAGGAAATAATATTTACCAGAAATAGAAATAATCAACTTCTAAATGGGTACTTTCTAAAACATTCAAAACTCACATCTCTGAAAACACAGATGTCATCAAGTACACGGTACATATGGAACAAATCACTGGTGCTTACATAAAGCCAGCATCTGAAACCAACTGAGTTGGCATACGACCTGTAATCCCATCACTTGGCAAGCAGAGGCAGGAATTAAGAGCTGAAGACCCTTGGCATATAGCAAGTTCAAGGACAGTTGAGACTGGGGGTGAGGGGGTGAAGCAGTGTGTAAGTGTGCTCTGCACAGCAAACATAAAGATTTGAGTTTAAACTCTCAATACAAAAGCCAAGCATGGCTACCCACACCTGTAACCCCAGCACTGGGAAGGTAGAGACAAGCATATTGCAAGAGCTCACTGGCCGGCCGGCCTCACTGAAATGACAAGTTCCAAGTTTATTGAGCGACCCTGTTTAAACACAGTGAGATGAAGAGCAGTAGAGAGGATGATACCCAGTATCTTCCTCTGGCCTCCAAAAGGCAGACAGACAAACAGACAGACACACACACACACACACACACACACACACACACACACACAAATGGACTAATGAGAGCTAGTATTTTTCGAAAGAAGAGACTGGGGTGGAGTGGGTATTGCCTGTACATACACTCCAATTCTCAGAAATAATAATCAATGCTTAAAGGACTATTTGTGGGAAAGAGTCAGTAAAAATGAAAACATGACATAATAAATTACACCTAAACACTACTATTTATAAGCAAGTGTCAATATAAACAAAACTCCCAAATAGTATTCGGGTAAGTTAAAATGTTTTTTTTTTTCAGTTGAGTTAGAAACAGACATTTTTGAATAAAAAGTAACTCAGTCTAGTGTTTGTAATTATTGTTTTTAAATTTTATGTGAATGGGTATTTTTTCTGTATTTATATCTATGCACCATGTTCATGATTGTCTGTGGAGGTCAGAAGAGGGAATAGGATTCCCAGGAACTGGAGTTATAGAGTTTGAACTGCTATGTGGGTGCTGAGAGTTGAATCTAGGTCCTCTCAAGGGCAGCCACTTACTTCTGCCTAGAACCTAATTACTTAAACATTCATTAGCTTTTTGTTGTAAAATGTCAGACTTCCAGAAACGTAAGATCAACAAGAATGCTTACATACTATTCAGACTCTTTCTCCCTTTCACCTCATTTGCTTTATCATAGTTCCCTGAACCCTACTCTCTATGCACGTCTATTTATTTATATTTTACATCATGTAATGAAGTCTTTTCCATATATATATCCTAAAAAGCTGTTTAAACATCCTTTTATAAAAAAGTAAAATGATCACAATCAATAGGCTTACAGAAATAGAATATCATGACCTAATTTCTAGATTGTATTGAAGCATGCCCACTGTCCTAACAGGGTCTTTTATAGTAAAAGAAAAATCAGAACCCTTTTCCTTATCTATAATCCATTGCAGTTAGATGCCATGTTTCATTAATCTCCTATAACCTCCAACAGTTGGTTCCTCTCTCTTTGGCACTTATTGCTCATGACCTTGGTAAAGTTAAAGAGTATAGAGAGGGCTGGCTTCTGGGATCTTTTTGTCATATCCACATCATTCTTTTCCGTCTCCTTAGTTTCTGGCACAGTAAGCTACTGTGAGTCCATTTCACTTTCCCAACCTCAGAACTTCAGTGCTAGGTTTCTCTAACAAATTTCAGGTGAGTGGAGAGTGAATGGTATTCAGAAGCCAGCTTAAAGGCATGACATATGCTCCCTGCTACCATGATGAATGTCACTGATCTTAGTACATAGGAGTATGGAAAACATGAGAGAGAGAGAGGGGGGAGGGAGGGAGGGAGGGAGGGAGGGAGGGAGGGAGGGAGGGAAGGAAGGAGGGAGAGTTCTCATTTCAGAAGACTTATTTACTGACTGATTGTATGAGTTTATGTTCAGTGTATGAGTATAAGTGTCCTTAGAGGCCAGAAGCCATATAGTGTGGAGATCTGGAGCTGAAGTTACATATGGTTGTAAGCCACCTGATAGAGATGCTAGAAGTTGAACCCAGGATGACTTCTATATTAGCAGCAAACACTTTTGCCCACAGAGTCATCTCTCCAGTTCCCACCATTCTGATTTTAAAGTCTATGTCTCTCCAAAACTCAATCAAACCTTAATCCCAACCACAGTGATACTGGGAAGTATGGTGTTTAGGAAGTTAAGCCATGAGGGGCTACATTCATGAATAGAGTTAAGAGCTTCATAAAGGACATCAGAGAACCTTCTAGCTCTTCATCTCCCCTGCTTCCTTTAGCACGGTCTTATACTGCAATAAGGGGCCATCTTGAAGCAGATACATCTTCCCAGATACTATGTGTACCTTGTTCTTGGCTTTCCTATGAGAAGTTATGACTTCTAAACTACTCAGTCTAGGAAGAATATACATGTGACATGAGAGCAGAAAGAGAAGCTTTGAGAAGAATGGGAGCATTGAGGAGAGAGAAGACAATGGGGAAATGAAGAAGGGCAAGTGTGACAGTATACACATATGGAGATGTCACAATGAAACCCATTTCTTTATATGGTAACCAAGAAACTAAGTTTTAAAACAAGGCATTGGGAAGACAGCTCAGTAGGTGAGGTACTCACTTTTCATGAGTGATCCCCAGAAGTTGCATAAAAACTCAGGCCCACATCAAGGTACGTACTTAAAATCTCCCAGCTAGATGGGGAAAAGGAAGAAACCCGGGGCTTGCTGGTCAGTCAGCCTAGCCTAATTGGTAAGTTTCAGCCAATGACAAGACTCTGACTCAAATAAAGTGAATCCTGTCCCCTTTTGTTTTTTCTTTTCTTTTTTGGTTTTTTGAGACAGGGTTTCTGTGTGTAATAGTCCTGGCTGTTTTAGAACTCACTTTGTAGACCAGGTTGCCCTGGAATTCAGAGATTCACCTGCCTCTACCTCCCGAGCTGGGAATACCCCTACCAGTTATGAACGACATTCTTAGCAATGATATCCAAGGTTGTCCTCTGGACTCCACATGCACATGGGCACATGTGCATGCACACCTACATGCATGTGCACCTGTGCACATATACATAATATTAACATAGAAATAAATTGTAAGGCATACTTTGTTATAGCAGAAGGAACAGACTAAGTTACATACATTATCTATCCATCTATATTACTTAAATGTGAGCCCATATACTAATCACCCACATCCCCATTAAGATCCAGGTCAAATGTATCAATGGATGGATAGCTCCATGTCCATGAATATATACATAGCACAAAGTGGGTGGGTAATTAAAGAAGAGGACAAAAGTTGGGAGTGGGGATGGGAGGGGGTCTGAGAAGTTAAGTGGAGGAATAGATAAATATGATCAAAACACACTACATATAGATATGAAATTCTCGAAGAATTCATAAAAACATTATATTTTGAAAATCCTGGCCACATGTTGCTTCCCATTGAAGCATTTCTAGATGCACTCAGTTAACTGTTTTTTCTGCTTTGACATCTTGGCCATCTATCACCTGCCTTAAGTAACACTTCTCCGTGGTTTACAAACCCTCTGATGGCAGAAACCAAATAAATATCTTTGTCCCACAGAGCCCAATTTAGAGGCCTGAGTATGACAGAATCACACTGAGCTGAATGAGATTTTTCATATGCAGGAGTGATATGCATGACATCTGGAGTAAACAAGACAAAAATGTCCTATCTCAGCATCTGTTGGCATGGTAATCTGCGGAAATAACACCACTTTTAGTCATCTCTACATCTTCTCATGTATCCTTGAAAATGCATCTCTTTAATCAAACTCAAGAAAAGTTCCTTTGAATAGTACTCAGTTTCGAAAGAAATAACTTTATGCCATTTAAATAATCTTGAATAAATGAATACAGACTTTTCCCTTTAATTCACATTCATCTGGGAACCTCAGAGCTAACAATTGGCTTGAATTCCATCTCTCAGGGTCTAACAGAAGCAAGGAGAGCATCAAATATATACTTTTGATGTTTCTTTTGTAAGCAGAGGGGAAAAGGGGGCAAACTATGCTTGCCTGATAAACAAGGACATAAGCTATTTTTACAAAGAGTAAGTGATAACCCACAGACTGTAAGCTATCTCATGAAAAGCACATCAAACGTAGAGGCAGGCACTCCAGCCTTGAGGCTCATTCTTGCGACAGTGTAAGGCTGCCCCATCTGGGTGCAGCTCTGCACTTACTGTAAGTGTGGCTGTGCTCTCATCATCGGACCACTGCATGGACAAGGAGAAAGAAAACATTCAATTTAAATATTGGAATAACAAAAGACAGTATGCTACCTAAAAATGACACACAGCAGACATCTTCCCCTGAACATGATATATGAGGAGATGGCTCAGTAGGTAAAAACACTTGCTATTCAAACACAAGAGGCTGAGTTCTAATCCTCAATACCCATGTAAAAAGCCAGAAGCAGCTGGGCATGCCTGGAACCCTGGTGTTGGAGTGGGGTTGAGGGTATCCCTGGGGCTTCCTGGCAAGTGCTAGCCTAGCTGAAAAACATTCAGTTCCTGGTTCAGCAAGAGAATGTCTCAAAGAAATACAATGGGGAGTGATAAAGCAGGATACTGGATGCTCTTTACTGGCTTCTGCATGCAAATACATGGGACACATACATAAGTATTCACAAACCCATACACCACACACATGCACCGTGTATTTGTGTGTGTATACATATATCCATATGCACATGGCATATATATGTACATATATATGTATATATTTAACATACCTATGTCAAGTAAGACTTTCATGTAATAAAACATAAGGTAAGATCTGTCAAAAGCATTTCAGAGATTGTCTGAATGAGAACAAATACTACAGATTATTCTCTACTGACCTGTGTTTCTTCCGCTTCATTATCACTGTCTGGCTGGGAACTTGTTGGTGGATCTTCCCTAAGAAAACATAAAGCAAAATTTAATTAAGAAATATACTTAGGTGCCATGAATTTACAAATAAATAAATAGATAGATAAACAGACAAACAGATGACTGCAAAGCACATTGGAGAGTAATATAAAGAAATATTCACTTCTTAAGACAGAAGCTAATAAAAACACGGAATTTAAATAAATAATTAAATAAATAAAAGCCAGGTAGTGGTAACGCACACCTTTAATCTCAGCACTAAGCAGGTGGATCTGGATCTCTGAGTTTGAGGCCGGCCTGGTCTATAGAGTGAGTTCCAGGATAGCCAGGGCTCCACAGAAAAACTCTGTCTCAAAAAAACCATAGATAGACATACAGATAGATAAATAAAACATGGTTAATGGGAGTATACTGCCAGTAAGAGACGGCAAAATGAAACATCTGCCTACTCAAAGTCACTCAAACCAGGAGAAAAAAACCAAACTCCATCTCTACTAATACTTTAAGAGTCATATAGCAAAGACAGGGAGGATCAGACAAGATGAAGGCAGATACAGAAGGGAAACAGGAAGAACTACCTACACAGCTAAAGGACAGCAAACAGCACTGTGAGGTAAAACCAAGACTTTTTATTTGTACTAGGAAAACTGAGCATGAGTCACGGTGTCAAGGATTACTCTGGATCCACACTGAGTTACACAGGAAGAAGTAAAAGGAGGGATGGAGAGAGGAAAGGAGGCAGGCGGGCAGCAGGCAGGTCCACAAACTTTCTACATATTTCTTTGCAGGGTTATTCTGCCTTTCCACCCACCATACTCCAGAATTTATTTCCCCATCCCTCTGATTTACACTGGCTTCAAGACTCATTCTGACCCACATAATTATCCAAAGCAATACCACCTGACTCTGCACTAGGCCACCAGATGTCCCTACAGCTTTTCCTCATACCCTTTTGGAATGTTCTCACTGTTCTGTAAAGAAGCTAGGGCTGGCCAGCCTTACTGAGGAGGTCCACATGGAAAAGGAGACCCAAGTGACAGCACTAATTGTCAGGCTTGTGAAGTAGTCCATCTTATGATGACCCACCTCAGCCTGGTCACCAAATGACTATAACCATGTGACCAACAGAAGACTTGCCCATGGCCAAGAATGAAGGAAGATCAGATTTTTGCCAAATGAACAAGTTAACAAGGGAGCCTCCAACAGCTTGTTGGACATAGCAGGTATCGTGAGTTTCCCGACTCAAAGACAAAGAGCACTGTCTGCTCTTGCAGAGGACCTGGGTTCAATTCCTAGCACCCATACAGTAGCTCACAGATACCTATAACTCCTGTTTCAGAGGATCTGATGCCATCTTCTGATCAGGCACACACATGGCAAACAAACAAACATGAAGGTAAAACTTTTACTCAATGAAAATAAATAAGGAAGCCAGGCGGTGGTGGCGCACGCCTTCAATCCCAGCACTCAGGAGGCAGAGGCAGTCGGATCTCTGTGAGTTCGAGGTCGGGCTGGAACAATAACCTCCAAAACAGTACAGAGAAACCCTGTCTCGTAAAAACAAAAAAAACAAAAAAAAAGAAAAAAAAGGATATAAAAAATTTAAAAACCTGAAAATGTGTCTTATTATTCTAAAGCCACTTACTATTGTTCTTATACCTCAGTGTTTTCAAACATAGTTCTGCAGAAAACTTATCACAATGCTACTATGAAGTATGATACAAAGTAAGTCCACTATGAAAGACTACAACATTTTCAAACTGAAGGTTTAGTAGGTAAGGTAGCCCAAAAGTACCAAGCTAACATTTAGGGCTTTATGTGTTTCCTTTTATCTATTTAAAAGATTAGGTTTTGCAGGGCTGTGGTGGTGCATGCCTTTAATCCCAGCACTTGAGAGGCAGAGACAGGTAGATCTCTGTGAGTTCAAGGCCAACCTGGTCTATAAAGCTACACAGAGAAACCCTGTTGGGGGGAGGGGATTAGGTTTTTGTTTTTAGTTTTTAAATAGTGTGTCTGCAAAAGGCATGGTGTACACATAAAGGTCATAGGAAATTTTTCAGTAGTAAATTCTTCCCTGCCACTATGTGAGTCCTAGGTATCAGACTCAGGTCACTGTGTTTAAAGATTCCTTTGGTTCCTTTGCCTGCTGAGCCATCTTGCTGACCAAGGATATTCTATACTTTCTTTTTTAGAAGTAAAACATATTTTACATTTATTTATTTAGTTGTGTGTGCATGCAATGGAGGAAAGAGAATCACTCGTGGGAGTTGGTTCTTTTTTCCTACCATGTGGGTTCCTGGGATCAAACTCAGGTTGTTAAGGTTGGCAATTGTCTTTTACCCACTGAGCCTCTTGCCAGCCCAGGACTGCACACTTTCTATATGGTCTCTTACATAGAGCTGGCACCTGAGAGCACTGAGTCAGAAAGACAGTCTAAGTGTCTCAGTTCTGCTGGAGTTTGCCTCCAACCTGCAGTGCATCAGCCCCATGACCCTAGTTTCTTCATCCGCCACCTTCAATGCACCAGAGCTTTTATGATGCTGTTCTCTTAGCTTGGAAGATCCTTCTCTCAAGCCCTTTGCTGGCTACCTTCCAACCTTCCCAATGCAGAGACTTTGCTGTTTCCTTAGTGCATTCCCTAACCTCCTCCACAGTCCCAGTAACTTAGTGTTAGTAACTGCCCTTGAGTCTTAGGGTTTTGGTGCTGTGAAGAGACACCATGGCCTTGGCAACTCTTATAAAGGGAAGCATTTAATTGGGGATGGCTTACAGTTTCAGAAGTTTAGTCCATTATCATCATGGCAGGACATGGCTAAACACAGGTAGATATGGTGTTGGAGAAGGAGCTGAGAGTTCTACATCTTGATCCCCCAGGCAGCAGAAGGGAGACTGAGTGCCACACTAGGCATAGCTTGAACATGAGACCTCAAAGCCCACACCTACAATGACACACTTTTTCCAACAAGGCCACACCTCCCAAACAGCACCACTCCCTATGGGCCAAGCATTCAATACATGAGTCTATGGAGCCCATTCTTATTCAAACCACCCCACCTTGATAACATTTATCTCAATTTTCACTTACATACTTGTGAATTTTCTTAATTGTTGTACTTACTGAGATTAATGATAATGACAGTATTTTGTTTGTTAAGAATATAAAAAGAAGCCGGGCGGTGGTGAAGCACGCCTTTAGTCCCAGCACTTGGGAGGCAGAGGCAGGCTGGATCTCTGTGAGTTCGAGACCGACAGCCTCCAAAACAATACAGAGAAACCCTGTCTCGTAAAACCAAAAAAAAAAAAAAAAAAAAAATATATATATATATATAAAGAAGGGGCTGGAGAGATGGCTCAGTGGTTAAGAGCACTGGCTGTTCTTCTAGAAGTTCTCATTTCAAGTTCCAGCAACCACATGGTGGCTCACAACCATCTGTAATGAGATCAGGGAGGCAGAGAATATATATATATAGAATATATATAGAGAATAGAACTTCCCAGTGGGCCCTTTCAAACTTTCCTTCTATCCTCTTTTGTGACTGCCAACCTGCAGAACCTCTCTCTACCAGATATCAAGCAGCTATGAGGATGGGACTCTGTTCAGAGCATTACTCACTCATCATTGATTTTTATCCTTATAACACCTTCATCAGATAAGCTCTACACTACATATAAGAAAACAGTAACAAAATGATCTACAAAATAGTAAACATTACTTGAACCTAGACAATCTGACAAATGGATTAACCCTATACTGTTCTGACTCAAAAAAGCAGCTCATTTATCAACTACTAAAGGGCAGGTTCCCCAGGTGATCTGTGCAGTTTATAGTACTGTTGCTATAAGACAACTTCCTCCCACTTAAAACTTCCATCTTGAGCAGGGCAGTGGTGGCGCACGCCTTTAATCCCAGCACTCGGGAGGCAGAGGCAGGCGGATCTCTGTGAATTCGAGGCTGGGCTGTACCGATACAATACAGAGAAACCCAGTCTCGTAAAAAAACAAAACAAAAAAAAAACCTTCCATCTTGAAATTAGCTCATTAAGTCACAGGACATCCCATCCTGTGGGGAAGCTCTTCAAGCTCATATGTAGAGGGCATCACAGATAAGCATCAGGGAAGCCAAGAATGTTAAGCAAGCAATCTTCTCTCTTCAAGAGAAGGGATGTGTATACCTGTTTTCCACCCAGAAGGCTAGGAATGGATGTAGTTAATACCCTGGTAATCTGTGTTATAAGCAGTGCCAGGTCACACCCAAATTACCCAGACTATCATGCTTGTTTCAAACTCATCCTCCCTAGACCTTTATCTTGAGCATTGCTTCTGTCAATAGAACCCATCTTTAGGGGAGATGTGACCTCTATGCTATTGAGACCACACCAGATCCTAGGCCCCTAAGCTATAGAACCCATCTTTATGGTAGAGGTCACAGGTACTGTGCAAGAGAGTTTCAATGTAAGTCAACACCTTAAACTTTACTGTGCACATGGGATTGAGATCATTATTACCAGAAAACTTTTTTTTTCCAAAATTGTACTGTACTTAAATGTCTAAAATAAACTGCCTGGTGTCAGACTCTAGAAGTTTGAACCAGCAATGGCTAGTGAGTCTTGTGGAACTGGATTTCCTTCTTGCCTTGAGTGAATCGTTTCTCTGCAGGATGTACCATTTTCAGGGACTCCCACATTCAGGAAGCAAACAACTCAAAGGTTCCAAGAAGTGTATGAAGTCTATGATACTGAGCAGATTTTCTGGGCCTCCCCTCCTCAAGTAAATATAAGCTGTAAGGACTGCTGTGGAAAACTCAGCCAGGAGCATTTCACAAGAAACAGCAGAGAGTGGCAGGGCTACATAAAAGAGGATCAAATAGTCTGAACTGCCTAAAAGAGACAGTCTCTAACCTATTACACTGCCTGAAGGTTATATCATGTTCTAGGGTTCAGTTTTTGTGAGCTGTCACCATTCTTGGGGGGTTCACACAGCTGTCTTTGAGTCATTTCTACTCCTATAAGTAATTCCTCACTATATTCTTCTAAGTGGCTCCAATAAAACAAATTGGTTCACCAAGCTGAACTTAGGCCCGTCATTAGTCCCCTATGTGAGGTGAATAGACACCTGTTTACATCTCCCCTCAAATAGTGTTACATAATACCCTCAACTAACACTGTTCATTCCACATGGTGCTCGCCAATACCTGAGACTCATGTAAGCATCTAACTGATGAAAAATCAATACAGAAGGCTCTTCAGTGTTCACAGCACTGGAAACTTATAAAATGTCTTCTAATATTAGGGGTCAATTATACTATGAATTATATATACTATATATTCCCAAATATATACATTTGGGAATAGCAGTTTCCTTTTCAGTAAAAGAGTTTCAACTCAGAACTTCTATTAACCATGTTAGGCAGAACCCTAATAACAAGTTTACAACACTTTTTCTTTTTTAAATCATTTCCTTATCCTTTAATTATACCACACTAATGAAGCTCTTCTTTTACAATTTTCAGGGTATTAGATGGTTATCAAGGTCCAGAGAATGGTGTAGGCAGAGGCACGCAGATCTCTGAGTTTGAGACTAGCGTGGTCTACAGAGCAAACTCCAGGACAGTCAGAACTACATAGAAAACCCTGTCTAGAAAAATAAACAAAAACAAACAAAGAAGAAACGAAGGAAGGAAGGAAGGAAGGAAGGAAGGAAGGAAGGAAGGAAGGAAGGAAGCTGGAGAGATGGTTCAGTGAACTAGAGATAGTTCAGTAGTTAACAGCACTGGCTGCTCTTCCAGAGGACCTGGGTTCAATACCCAGGACCCACATGGCAGCTCACAACTGTCTATAACTCTTGTTTCAAAGGATCTGACACCCTCCTACAGACATACATGCAGAAAAAACAGCAATGCACATAAAATAGGAATAAATAAATGTTTTATAAAAAAAAGAAAAGGGGTTATCAATGCCAAGAAGCCAGAAATACAATCCAGAAAGCTACACTAAAAATCCAGTAGACAATAATGAGGTCAACTTGCACACATAGTAAACTTTAGGCCAGTGTAGGAACGTGATAAAATGCTCTCTCAAAAAACAAAACAAAAGAAAAAAACAAAGGGCTGAGGAGATGACTTGCTGTGCAATTATGAGGACCTTGTTTATTTTTTTATTTTGAGATAGGCTTTTACTGTGTACAGGTTGGCCCTGGAAATTACTATGTAGACCAGGCTGGCCTTGAGCTCACAGAGACCTATTTGTCTCTGCCTTCTGACTGAAGAAGACGGTATGCCTAGGCTAATCCATTTACCCATGCAAAAATGTTGATTTAATAAGTACACTGTTTCTTTATGATTATAAAGAATTGTTTTCTGATATACTTTACCTTCCAGAAACCACCAGAGTCCCATCGTCGAGTAAATAGTCTTTCACATTCTGAGGAAGCGGGAGAATGACACTGGAAAAGATACATACCAAAATAAAGTGTCACCTCAAAGGACTAGCCACAGTGGAAAAATGTAGATGGATTTTTTTTTGGGGGGATGGGGCTGCTAGCTCACCAAAAGAGAGAGAGAGAGAGAGAGAGAGAAGAGAGAGAGAGAGAGAGAGAGAGAGAGAGAGAGAGAGAGAGAGAGAGAGAGAGAGAGAGAGAGAGAGACTTACTAATTATGAAAGCTCGGCCTCTAGCTCAGGCTTGTTTCTAACTAGCTCTTACAACTTAAATGAACCCATGTCTATTCATCTATGTGCTGCCATGTGGCTCATGGCTTTTACCTCTCCTACTGCATGTCTTGCTCACTCTTGCTCCCTCATCTGGCTGGCAACTCTTCCTTTCTTCTTCCCTGAGTTGTCTCTGCCCAGATGTCCCACCTAACCTCTTTCTGCCTAGCTACTGGCCATTCAGATTAAAACAATGAGAAGGCATGTTGGCAAAGACACATCTTTACAGTGTACAAAAAGATTATGATGGAAGGAGAAGACAGACTCCTGAAAGTTGTCCTGTAACCTGTACATTCCCAACATGCATACACAAGTTAAATAAATAAATAAACAAACATTTTAAAGGTGGTTTTAGGCAGCACAACCTAGTCGTTGACTGTCTAATGATGCCAGGAAATCCCACTTATTGGCTTAATTCCACTATTATCTTCATATACATGGCATACAATTTAAGTGAACTAAAATAATTTGCTTTGATAGGAGTTTATTAAACCCAAAAGGAAACAAGCAACATTTTTGTGTTTACTACATACTAGAAAGAGTTATAGCACTTTAAGTATTTTATCATATGTACCGCTCAGGACAATCCTACTACTTTCCAAAACATGTTTAGGGAGATTAAGTCATTTGCTGAAGATGCTGATCGAACCACAATTCAAACCCAGACAAATGGTTCTGACTCTAGAGCCTAATTCTTAATCACTGTATGCTTAGTCTTAAGGCAAAGGAACACTATGCCAGAGGTTACAACAGACAGTTACATAGAAACCAAAGGACATTTACATTCACTTGCAGGGCTGAGAATGGTGTTGTATGTCTGCAACCCCAGAACCTGGGTGATTATGATAGGAAAGTCACCAATTCAAAAACCAGACTCTCTCAAAAAGACAGACCAACAAAAAGGATTTTCAGCATAAGTGAACACTCTGTCATACCAGCACTGAAGAAATAATGCAAACATTATTTCAGACCCACAACGTAACTTTAGTTATGTAAGTTAAGGAAGGACTGGAATGTCAGCTAGGAAAGATAACTAATGATAGACAGGAATTACTGCTGCATCAGCTCTCCTTTGGTGTGACTAGCCATCTTCAAATGCAAGAATTATCTTCTTTTATAAACTCCACACAGCATGTATAACTAGAAAGAGATTTTATGTTTGAATAGCAAGATGGAAAAGAAATGTCTTTTGAATAACCTGCAAGTGCTCTTCCAAGCCTTCAAAATTCAAAAACAGGACAGAATGAAAAAGGAAAGGCAGAAGCCTGGTGTTGGTGGTGCACACCTTTAATCCCAGCACTTGGGAGGCAGAGGCAGACGGATCTCTGTGAGTTCGAGGCCAGCCTTGTCTACAAGAGCTAGTTCCAGGACAGCCTCCAAAGCCACAGGGAAACCCTGTCTCGAAAAACCAAAAAAGAAGAAAGAAAGAAAAGACAGTTGATGTCCAAATAAGTGACAATCTAGGTAGACCTAAAGGAAAAGTGAGCAAAATGCAGGAAATTATACCTATTCGTGGATACCCAAGGCCTTTGGAGCCTATCCCTGTTAGTGAATGAAATCTTTACCTGCATCTTTCAGATTTTATGATTGCTTTTGAATGGTTGGAGATAGTTTTCCTAGCTGCCTTGCATTTGACAGTTAAGATACCGTATGCAACTATTCATTAGAGGCATTTTGCAAGCCTGCATAGATTCCTTGTTCTAGTCCAGAGAACAAGTACAACCCCACTCTCTTTCCAGATGGATTGCTGCTTCTCAGAACACTGGACTCTCAATCAATGTAATCAATGCTTCCTATACACTACCATACTGGAGCTTCACGACAGACTTCGAGGTCGGGTCAGTATCACTGCCGTAATTCTACAGTGATGAAACTCAACTGTCACCAGACGGGTTAGTCAGTGGCAAAGCCACCCAGTTTTGCTATGTTTATCGCCTGGAGCTCCTGGCAATTCCAAAAGTATCTATCTCAATTGAGCTCCTGGCAATTCCAAAAGTATCGATCTCAATTTACCCTGCCTATGACCCTCACTGCTTTCCTACCTCTCTTGGCACGCTCCTTGAATCGCAAAAGGAAACCTGGCAAATTCTGATCTACTTCGTTAATCTTTTCACCTCAAATCTAGGGAGGTCCACAGCTCAACACCGTCGCTCCCACTGAGTCGTGAGAAGGCCTGCCTTTTTGTTTAGTTTTCTGAAGGAGGTGGGATTTTGCCAACACCGCAGTTCGCCTCCAGGCATCTCACCTCTTGATGGTAATGCTTCGGAAGAGCGGGTACCAGGCGGAGAACTGACAGTGACTAACATGCTCCTTCTTCATCCTCCACCTGCCGCGTCAATCGCTGCCTTTCTCCTCTCCCGCCAGCACTCTCCCGGAACCCGACGTAAGACTTCCGGAAGTGCCCGCCGAGCGGTTTTGATGAAATAACTCTTCCGGTCCGTAAAAGCCAGGAGGTGCCTGAAGCTAAAGTAATGGTGGAGAGAGCACGCTTAGTATGTCCGAACAGACTCACGAGACACAAAAAGAACTTGAGCCCGGAAAAGAAGAATCGTGAAAGTGTAGGATTTTAGGAAGCTTAAAACTTCTCTTTCGTCTCTAAGCAGCTCGACCCGGAAGGTAATCATCTAAAGCTAGCGGAGTTTCTACGGGTGCCGGGAGGAGGACGTGTGCACATCCTTCTTGCACCACGAGAGGCGCCGGTGTCTCTAGTGGTGGCGCCTGCTTCTACGGAGACTGCGGCTTCTGTCTGATTGTTTTTCCTCTCCTCCTCCATCCCTTCCACATCCCACAGCTTAGTGTAGGTAAGTGGGCGCGAGCCAATCTCGGTACCAAGTGTCCTTGGAGAGGGGACGGGAAAGCAGGGCGCGAGCCCAGCTGATGTGCTTAGAATTCTGCCAGTCGCGCGCGTGTCTCCCAGTCCGCGCTCAGGCGCGAGGAGAACCCGAGATCCAGGCGAAGCAGCCTGGACTACGAGAGGAACCAGGGAGCTGCACAGTAAACGTCTGAACGCATTAGTCGAGGCATCTACCAGAATGGTCCCTTCTCATTCATGAAAGTAGATTTCAAGAGACACAGGAAAGAAATTCCGGGGAGGGGGGAGGTATTTTACGGTCCTGGAGATGAGAAAGCAAGGAAAAGAGGAAAGTTGTGTCTTTTAAGCTTAAAGTTCATTTAGTCCAGCCTGGAAAAAGTTACCAGTGTAGAAAAGCACAGATTTTTATCAGTGTCTCTGCAATGATGAAATCATAAGATTGAAAGCGTTTATACGTGAACTTGTGGTATCATCTTTCTACCTACTCCTTTCTGTGTCTATCTCTCTACAGAGTTCAGTTTTGTTTCTTTAAAAGAAGATCACAAACTACAAGAGATAGGCCTTTAAAATCCACTGGTGCTTCCTATAATTTACAAGTCTTGGGCTTGTTCCAAGCACGTATTTGTCCAAAAGCACCACATTTTAGATATTCGCCCCCACCAAAACAACAACAAAAAAACCCTGCACATTTCTCCCAGCCTCGCTAAGCAGTTTAAGTTAGAAAGATAAAAGCCCAGCTACTGTCGACTTCTCTAGAAAGGTATTTGTTAAAATCAGTCAATAGAATACTTTGTATTTGAGTTAGTATATACACATACCCGAAGTATAACTTGTTTTGAAAGTTAAAGGTCAAGTAGTTGGAAGTATTGCTTAAAGAATACAGTTTCAAGCCGGGCAGTGGTGGTGCACGCCTTTAATTCCAGCACTCGGGATGCAGAGGCAGGCGGATCTCTGTGAGTTCGAGGCCGGACTGGACCGACAGCCTCCAAAACAATACAGAGAAACCCTGCCTCGTAAAACCAAAAAAAAAAAAAGATTTTCAAAGCCAAGATAAATGGATTATAATGTTCCAGTGTACATTAGGGGATTCTGGATGTCAGAGATTCTTATTTAAGAACCTATGAAATCCAGAATTAATCAGCCCCTTAGTTTGTTTTTTGTTGTGTGTTTGTCTTGTTGCTTTGGGACAAGGTCTCTATAATCCTCTATAAACCTATGTCATTGGTTCTCAACTTGTGGGTCATAACCCCTCAGCTATCCTGCATATCACATGTGTACATTACTATTCAAAACAGTAGCAAAACTTCATAACTACGAAGTAGCAACGAAATAATTTTATGGTTGGGGTCACCACAGCAGGAGGAACTGTATTAAAAGGTCACAGCATTAGGGAAGTTGAGAAACACTGTAGACCAAGCTAGCCTCAAGGAGATCCATTTGTCACTGTCTTCCCAGTGCTAGGATCAAAGGAATGCACCACCAGGTCTGGCTAGTCCTCTGTGTTTTGAGGGAACGCAGCAATAATCCATATCCTCCCTTTTCTTTTTCTGGGGATGGTGCTTGCACAGCTAAGAGACAGAGCATAAGAAAGAAGCCACTAATACTTGTTTTTAATTGACCTGGAAACAAAGTTGTAGCGGGAGGAAATGTTAGCACTGGTTGGGGTGCATTTGGGTAAAGTATTTTTTGTTGAAGATATGAATTGATATATGGGAGAAAGCAGGCCCCCAGGAAGTTATTCATTTGGGTAAAGCAATACTTTAACAGCCCAGCAAACACTTGGGCACAGAGACTGAGACAGTTACTTGGAGAATCAGCTAAGTTGTAAGGAGAAGGAAAGGACAGAGAAAGAAACTGGAATAGAATGTTATGTATTCTGTGGCTTGTTTGTTTGTTGTGGTTTTTGGAGACAGGGTTCCTCTGTGTAGCCTTGGTTGCCCTGGTACTTGCTTTGTAGACCAACCTATTCTGGAACTAACAGAGATAGAGATCCACCTGCCACTGCTTCCTGAGTACTGTGATTAAAGGCCTGTACCATCACATCCGTCTAGCCCGTGTTCTGTGTTTTCAATAACTGTTTTTAGTACTGCCGTAGATTCTGCTACAGACTTAGTCAGAATTCAGTAAGTTGATACCACAAATAAAAGATGCTCAAGTGTTTTGAACAGCAGAGCTAAATTATCTATTTTTTAACTACCGAGTTTTTATTTTCAATTTTTATATTCAGTTTTCTTCAGTAAAAACCTTACAATGCAATGGTAGAAATAATCATATTTAGTGTGTGTCAGTGCAGGTGGGTAGTACAGCAGGCGAATGGAGACCAAAGGACAACTTTGCAACTTTTGGGAGTCAGTTCTCACTTGCCACTGTGGGCCCCTGGGATTTCACTTGAGTACTCAGGCTTGCTCAGCAAACACTTGCTGGACCATCTCAGCAGCCCCTCGGGATTGTTTGTTTGTTTGTTTGTTTTTTATCAGCACTGTTAGAAGCTAGGGGATTTACCGAGTGATTCCAAAGTGAATAAAACAAAACAAAATATTTTCTTCTTTGAATTCATAGCATGACTTCTAGATAAATACTTCCAAAGCCACAAACTCAGTGTGTCCAAATATGAGCACGGCCTCACATCTTTCTTCTGCTGTTCCAGTCTCCTTTAAAATCTTGGAACCACCTTGTATTCACTTCCCTGAAATGATTCACTTTTAAGACAAAATACTACACTCTCATTGTTTGCTACTGCTAACACCCCAGCACACACTCACTCCCATCATCTCTTGTCTGAGGACTCATTACTTTGTGGTTGGGTCATTAAAGTCAGTTTCATCTTCCTCATCTATAATTAAGTGATTTAATGGTAAATGATTTTTTTTATAAGTCACCAAGTAATATAATCACAGTAAATGTCAGTCCCTTTACCACCTCCATTGCCCATCCCTGCCGGGAGAAAAAAATATATTGTAAACTTGAGTGTTGTTCCACCCTTACCATATGCATACAGGTCCCTCCATTAGTCTGGCAATAATTTTCAGTGAAGGGAAGAACACTGATATATATTTGATTTGATGTGGGTACCTGAATTTTTAGTACAAATTTGTATAGTACAAAAGAGTGTATGTTTTCTGTTTCTTAAAAAAAAGTAAACTTTTAAAGTTGTGATAATAGCTAAACTTATTTAATATTTTTATATTAGTTATTTCATTCTTGGTCCTTTACTATATGAGTTTTTTTCTCTATGAAATTAGTTCATTGACATGTGTATATTGGTTACTCTCTTCTCTCCTTCCCATGCATGTCAATGCCCCCCCTCTTCTCTACCTATCCCTTCTCCAGATTCATGACTTTTGGTTTTGTTATGTGACCATTTGGTTTATTCAGAGCCATCTGCGTGACCATTGGATTAGGACTGTCCACTGTAGCCTGCTGGGGGTCACCAGTGGCTATTCAACTGATGACAGTGAGTCCCTCTTTCCCTGATTTATATGTAGGAAATAGTTCAACAGTGAGGGATAGGGCCCCCTGCGTCCTTCCTCCATCCTTGTCTGACTGTTGAGCAGAATGATTGCAATGATCAGTAGTTTGGGAGAGTTGTTGGGGGCAATGGCTGTTCATAAGATGGCATTTTCCAGCCCTTTTTCCTGTATGCCAGCTTTTTCTTTTCTCTCAGTCTTACACGGTGTTCCCCTGAGGTTTGGCATGAATGCTATAAATGCCCTGTTTGGGGCTGAGCACTCAATCATTGTTTCCTCTCAAGTCTATATGCAGTCGTAAGACGAACTTCATCTCAGCTCACTGGAAAGAGGCTTTTTTGGATAAGACTGAGTGAGAATAGTAACTGTCTATGAGTATAAATATGTGCATTTAGCCAGTCAGTAATGGCACGTGCCTTTAATCCCAGCACTGGAGAGGCAGAAGCAGGTAGATAGAGGCCAGCCTGGTCTATGAAGAGAGTTCCAGGATAGCCAGAGCTATTACTTAGAGAAACCCTGTCCCCCCCCCCAAAAGTCAATCATACTAAATTATTTCTTCAATTTTTTTAATTCAGGTTTTTAATTGTGGGGAGACTAGGAAATAACTTAGTCGGAAAATGCTTACCATTCAAGATACCTGCCTCAGTTTGATCCCCAGAACCCTTGTAAAAAGCCCGGGGTTCTGGTTCAACTTGTAATCTCAGTGCTGGGGAGCCAGACAGAAGGCTTTCTGGGATATGACGGACAGGCAGCCTAAACTAAATGCTAAGCCCCAGGTCCCAGTGTTCAACCTTGTCTCACAAAAATAAAGTGGGCAGTTCCTGAGGAGCAAACAGTGAGGGTTGACATCAGGCCCCCACGCACTTGTGCGCATGCATGCATGTGCACACACAGCCACACACAAGTTTGTATACACCCCACATAAAGACACAAACTTTTCCCCACTCAGTTTCTTTCAAAGTGCCTTGTTGATTTCCCTATCGTTACATAACTGCCCCAACTGCCTGTTTGTCAGTCGAGCAGTGCTTATTATTTGAACTTCTACATTCTTTTTTCTTTTTTTCCTTCCTTCTTTCCTTCTGTCTTCCTTTTTTTCTTTCTTTCTTTCTTTCTCTTTTGAACTGTTTTCTCACCATATTATCCGTACTGGTTGTTAAGTAGTGGCCTCAGGCCATTCTGCGTCAGCCTCCCAAATGGCAAAGTCCTACTCTTAAACAGGATGAGTACTAAGCAATACTGATGACATTAGTGAGATTTTATCAAAAAGAATGCAGTGAACATGTTATCTCTTGTTAAGATTTTGTTTCACTTTCCGTTTTAAACAAATTTCAGTAATTCCAGGAGTGGTAGCACTGAGCCAGCGTACAAACTCCACAGCCTGACTTTAGTTTCTAGTTTCACTTCTTGCATCTTAACTCTTGCCTATCTCTTTTCTAATAATTTTTGATATTATAATTATTTCAATATTTCTCCCTTTCCTCCCTGGAGTCCTACCATATACCTTTCCTGATATTTTTTTCAA